ACACATTACTAATTTGCACATTTTATGAATGCGACTTCTTTGCATAAGCATGGTTTATTTATTATTAATATCGAAAAAAACATTTTCAACATTAATATTGAATAAACTATTGCGCATTGGTCCGTTACTGGTACCTTGTGTTAAGGAATGAAGTGTACTGTAAAACATACTAAAAATTTTGCAAAATTCAAGCGGTCAAGGTTTTGTCCTTTTGTGAGATATAAACAGATATTTAAGACTTTATGAATAAACTATGACATTTGGGAAACCGCTGACTTCTGTGTAGATTTCAGTGAAGTTGTTGCAACGGAAGTAAAGATATCGCAGTCTGACAAGATCAGCGAAAGTGCCATTGTCCACCGTGTGGATGCCATTGTCCGACAGCCTGATGTCTTCCAGATTGGAGAGCCCGGCAAAAGTGCCGACTACAATGTGAGACAGTTTGTTTCCGCTCAGGTCCAGTTCTTCCAGTTGAGATAGGTCCCTGAACGTATCCGGCTCGAGAGCGCTGATCTCGTTCTGCTGAAGATAGAGTCTCTTCAGACCGACCAAGTCGCGGAGGAGCGACCTGGAGACGCTTGTTATCCAATTATCACTTAAGTAAAGATCATTCAGCTCGTTCAATCCTCGAAAGGCACCGCTCGGCAAGTCCTCTAACCGATTGTCGTCCAAGTAGAGGTAATGCAGTCCGGTTAACCCGGCGAAGGAATCCGGCGCGACGCGGAAGATTTTATTCTGTTTGAAGTTAAGCTCCAGCAGTCCGGGATTAAGATTCGAGAAGGATTCCGCCTCGATCGCTTCGATTTTGTTGCGTTGCAGGTCGAGATATTTCAAGCTTGACAGCCCGGCGAACGAGTCCTTCGGTATCGAATTGATCCTGTTGGAATTCAAACTCAGCCGCGTCAGGTGTCTCAAATCCGCGAACAAGTATCCCGATAACGGTACCACGTTGCCGTCCAAGGAGAGACTCTCCAAGTTGGGCAAACCGCGGAAGGATTCCCTCTTCAGCACGGATATCCGGTTAAAACTTAGATCCAAGTATAACACCGTCACGTTCTTGAAGGCGTTCTCTCGAATCTCCGAAAGGCCCAGGCCCCAGTCGATTACCAATCGGTTCACGACCCTGAAAACCGCCAACGATAGATGTCTATCATTTTATTCTTATATATCCGTATTAATGCATACGGTAAAATTATTACCATAAATAACGATATATACTATATCGTGTATATACGATTGATTCAGACGGGCAATAATTGTACATATAAAAAACGATTCATAACTATAAAATTTGTATAATTATTTCCTTATTCGGATTTAAAACGATAGAAACCGATTCGATTCGATTAATGTTTGATCTGTCTTCTAAATATGCAACGATAGAACCAATAAAATATACGATTAAAAACGATACAGATATAGCCGTTTTTTATCGTTTTATATCGGAGATGGTTACCAGGGGAAACGGCTTTGCGTAACTTCGATGAGGACCCCCCTGTAGTGGCAAACTTTGTAAACATTGTCATCCTGGCAGGTCGGCTTCTTCACCTCCGACGAGGCCCTTGCCGAAAGAAACAGGATAACGATTTGCGGAAAGAGCAGAAGAAACCGCGACATGGCGAGAGAGTTCGAATCAGTCGACGCGCCTAACCGAGTGACACGGACGCAACTGCAATTACGGATTTTGTATCTCGTGGAGAGTTAGCGATTAGATAGTGCAGCGTGACTTTTGGCATTGATTATCGTCACTTGCTGAGAAACTAGCGCGACTGCATTCTCGGAAGCGGAGTCGATTACGAAATGTCAAAGTTGAAAATATAACTGTGTAGTTTTAATTCACGACGACATTAACGACAATAACAATACGAAGATCAACTGGGTGCCCGAACGCCATATCGCTACGGACGAATCTATTATTCGTTACATATTATCATGGTCATGGTTGATTTAATTGAGTTCAAATCATATTATAACATCGAATATAATAACGCATGAAGTTGAGATTAAAAAATGTATTTATTTATTTCTTATGTCGGGCAGCATTCAACGCTTAGAAGAAGATAACCAATCCTTGACCTCTTCAATTTTTATGTTACAGTATACATCCCATTCACTAATATAAGATACAGTAATCCTGTCCAATGCGCAATAGTTTATAAAATATTAATGTTTAAAATTTTTCCTGTCCGTAATTGTTTACATACACAGCAACAAAAATACATTCCATGACAATTAATCTTTAGTCACTTTGTGCACTATTAAATATAATTACAATCTGTACATGTTTTTGAAGAATATCTATTATAGAAACATTTAAGACACATTACGAATTTGCACATTTTATGAATGCGACTTCTTTGAATAAGCATGATTTATTTATTATTAATATAAAAAAAAAACATTTTCCACATTAATATTTAAATAAACTATTGCGCATTGGACCGTTGCTGTATCTTATATATTAGTGAATGGAGTGTACTGTAACGTACTAAAAATTTAGCAAAATTCAAGAAGTCAAAGTTTTGTCCCTTTGTGAGGTATAAACAGATCTTTAAGACCTTATTAAAAAACTGTGACATATGGGAGGCCGCTGACTTCTTTGCGGATTTCAGTAAAGTTGCCACCGAAGTTGCCACCGAAGTAGAGATTTTGCAGTTTGACGAGATCAGCGAAAGTGCCATTGTCCACCGTGTGGATGCCATTATCGAACAGCTTAATATCTTTCAGATTGGAGAGCCCGGCAAAAGTGCCGACTACAATGTGAGACAGTTTGTTTCCGCTCAGGTCCAGTTCTTCCAGTTGAGACAGCTCCCGGAAAGTTCCCGGCTCGAGAGCGCTGATCTCGCTCTGCTGAAGATAGAGTCTCCCCAGATTGAAGAGCCCGGCAAAAGTGCCGGCTACAATGTGAGACAGTTTGTTTTCGCTCAGGTCCAGTTGTTCCAGCTGAGATAGATCCCTGAACGTATCCGGCTCGAGAGCGCTGATCTCGTTCTGCTGAAGATAGAGTTGCTTCAGACCGATCAAGTCGCAAAGGAGCGACCTGGAGACGCTTGTTATCCAATTATCACTTAAGTAAAGATCCTCCAGCTTGTTCAATCCTCGAAAGGCACCGCTCGGTAATCCCTCTAGCCGATTTTTGCCCAAGTCGAGGCTATTCATTTCGGTTAACCTGGCGAAGGAATCCGGCGCGACGCGAGAGATTTTATTCCTGTTGAGCTTAAGGAACTGCAGTCCGGGATTAAGACTCGAGAAGGATTCCGCCTCGATCGCTTCGATATCGTTGCCACCTAAGTCGAGATTAGTCAAGTTTGACAGCCCGGCGAACAAGTCGTTCGGTATCGAATTGATCTCGTTGGACCCCAACGACAGCGACCGCAGGTGTCTCAAATCCGCGAACAAGTACCCCGATAACGGTACCACATTGCCGTTCAAGGAGAGGCTCTCCAAGTTGGGCAGACCGCGGAAGGATTCCCTATTCAGCACGGATATCCGGTTGCTACTCAGATTCAAGACTGTCGCCGACACGTTCTTGAAGGCATTCTCTCGAATCGCCCAGAGGTTCAGGTGATTGAGGTTCGCGTCTTGGTCTTCGATTTGCGTCACTTCGACGAGGACCCCCTTGTAGTGGGAAATGCTGTAACCAAGACGTTGTAACGTTGTAACGTTGCCGTTGTTCTGGCAAGTCGGCTTTTTCACCTCCGACGAGGCCCTCGCCGAGAGGAACAGGATAACGACTTGCGAAAAGAGCAGAAGAAACCACGACATGGCGAGAAAGTTCGAATCAGTCGACGCGCCTAACCGAGTGACACGGACGCAACTGCAATTACGAGTTTTGTATCTCGTGGAGAGTTAGCGATTAGATAGCGCAGCGTGACTTTTGACATTGATTATCGTCACTTGCTGAGAAACTAGCGCGACTGCATTCTCGGAAGCGGAATTGATTACGAAATGTCAAAATTGAAGATACAGGAGTAGTGTAGTTTTAATTTACGACGATATAACAACACAATATAACGACACGAAGATCAACTGGCTGCCCGAACGCCACATCGCTACGGACGAATCGATTATTCGTTACGTTATCACGGTTGATTTAATTGAGTTTAAATTATATTATAACATGGAACATAATAACGCATAAAGTTGTGATTAAAAAATTTATTTATTTATTTCTTATGTCGGGAAGCATTCAATGCTTAAAAAAAGATAACCATTGCAACCCTTGACCTCTTCAATTTTTATGTTACAGTACATCCCGTTCACTCCTGTCCAATGCGCAATAGTTTATAAAATATTAATGTTTAAAATTTTTCCTGTCCGTAATTGTTTACATACACAGCAACAAAAATACATTCCATGACAATTAATCTTTGGTCACTTTGTGCACTATCGATTATAATCACAATCTGTACATGTTTTTGAAGAATATCTATCATAGAAACAATTAAGACACATTATACTAATTTGCACATTTAATGAATGCGACTTCTTTGCACAAGCATGGTTTATTTATTATTAATATCGAAAAAAACATTTTCAACATTAGTATTTAATAAACTATTGTGCATTGGACCGTTGCTGTACCTTGTATTAGTGAATGAAGTGTACTGTAACGTACTAAAAATTTAGCAAAATTCAAGAAGTCAAAGTTTTGTCCCTTTGTGAGGTATAAACAGATCTTTAAGACTTTTTATTAATAAACTGTGACATATGGGAGCCCGCTGACTTCTTTGTCGATTTCAGTGAAGTTGTTGCCACCGAAGAACAGATATCGCAGTTTGACAAGACCAGTGAAAGTGCCATTATCCACTGTCTGGATCTTATTGTCGGACAGATAGATGGATTCCAGATTGGAGAGTCCGGCAAAAGTGCCGAATGCAATGTGAGACAGTTTGTTGCCGCTCAGGTGCAGTTGTGTCAGCTGAGACAGATCCCCGAAAGTTCCCGGCTCGAGAGCGCTGATCTCGTTCTGCTGAAGATAGAGTCTCTTCAGACCGACCAAGTCGCGGAGGAGCGACCTGGAGACGCTTGTTATCCGATTGTCATTTAAGTAAAGTTCCTCCAGCTTGTTCAATCCTCGAAAGGCACCGCTCGGCAAGTCCTCTAGCCGATTGTCGTTCAAGCAGAGGCAATTCAGTTCAGTTAACCCGGCAAAGAATTCCGCCTCGATCGCTTCGATATCGTTGTGATCCAGTTTGAGAATTCTCAAGTTTGACAGCCCGGCGAACGAGTCCTTCGGTATCGAATTGATCTTGTTGGATTCCAACGACAGCAACCACAGGTGTCTCAAATCCGCGAACATGTACCCCGATAACGGTACCACATTGCCGTTCAATGAGAGGTACTTCAAGTTGGGCAAACCGCGGAACTCATTTTCGATTTCGGTGAAGTTGTTGCCATCAAAGTAGAGACCTCGCAGTTTGACGAGATCAGCGAAAGTGCCATTGTCGACCGTGTGGATGCCATTGTCGGACAGCGTGATGTCTACCAGATTGGAGAGCCCGGCAAAAGTGCCGACTACAATGTGAGACAGTTTGTTTCCGCTCAGGTCCAGTTGTTCCAGTTGAGATAGGTCCCTGAACGTATCCGGCTCGAGAGCGCTGATCTCGTTCTGCTGAAGATAGAGTTGCTTCAGACCGACCAAGTCGCGAAGGAACGACCTGGAGACGCTTGTTATCCAATTGTTTCTTAAGTAAAGATACTCCAGCTTGTTCAATCCTCGAAAGGCACCGCTCGGCAAGTCCTCTAGCCGATTGTAGCTCAAGTCGAGGCTATTCAATTCGGTTAACCCGGCGAAGGAATCCGGCGCGACGCGAGAGATTTTATTCCTGTCGAGCCAAAGGTACAGCAGTCCGGGATTAAGACTCGAGAAGGATTCCACCTCGATCGCTTCGATATCGTTGCCACCCAGGGAGAGACTTGTCAAGCTTGACAGCCCGGCGAACGAGTCCTTCGGTATTGAATTGATCTCGTTGGATTCCAACGACAGCAACCGCAGGCGTCTTAAATCTGCGAACAAATACCCCGATAACGGTACCACATTGCCGCCCAAGGAGAGGCTCTCCAAGTTGGGCAAACCGCGGAAAGATTCCCTCTTCAGCACGGATATCTGGTTGCTACTCAGAACCAAGTATGTCGCCGACACGTTCTTGAAAGCATTCTCTTGAATCGCCAAGAGACCCAGGTTCATGAGGTTCAGGTGGTCCTTGAAACGACTTAGCGGCGTCACTTCGATGAGTACCCCCTTGTAGTGGCAAACGTTGTATCCGAAACGTTGTAACGTTGTAACGTTGCCGTTGTCCTGGCAGGTCGGCTCCTTCACCTCCGACGAGGCCCGCGCCGAGAAAAACAGGATAACGACTTGCGAAAAGAGCGGAAGAAACCGCGACATGGCGAGAGAGTTCGAATCAGTCGACGCGAGTGATACGGACACAACTGCAATGTCTGCAATTACGGGTTTTACATCTCGTGGAGAGTTAGCGATTACATAGTGCAGCGTGACTTTTGGCA